AAAAATTTTTTTACATGTCACATAACACTTCCTGTTGTGTTATTGTTCAGTTTATAGTTAATTATGCCTACCACACAATGTGTGCAGTACCTGATGAATTAGACTCAAATTAGAGATATTGACAAGTTATAATTAAAAATAAGAACCTCCTACCTCTTTGATTTGCTGAGATATAAGTATATTTAACCAATCTAGTACTTTAGCTCCTCCTACTACTCCAGTATTTCAAAACCCCTTGTCTAGTCTCACCTACTTTTATTTTTCTAAGAATTTATAACCAATAGAAAGAGCAGATACTTGTGTATGTAAGTCTTATAGCTGTTTCTAAATAGCTTCAATGAAAAAATTGTAATTTCACCTAAACTGTTGAAGTGTGATGACTAAGTTGTTGCTCTGAAGAGAAATAGGATTTTTTAAAACTCACATAAAGCTTTTTTAGACACCCAAATAAATTACAGGTGTTTTGTGTGCAGTGATATAGTAATATTAAAATTATATACAAGTAAAAATGGTCACGTGGTTGGTCCCTGGGACCGATCCTATGTTGAAAGAGTTAAAAATTTTATTTCTCACATTTCTTTAAGTTTGACTAAGGAGAACAAAATACTTTTCTTGATGTCAGTAGTGATTTATTTTATTATTACTGTCAACAATCAGTACTGTACCATGTTTGCTCCCCCCTCTTTCTTAATGTTATAATGTCTAAAAAATGTTTGTTTATTCTGGAAATATGCAGTTTTCACACATCCCATGATTGTTACTTTTGTTCTAGCTACCTGTAGTTCTGTATCATTCGTCTGATATAACAACTTGTGTGCCATGGGGAAAATAGCTGTAATGTTGCTCTTAGTGTATACAGCAGTTTTCTCTATTGGTTGGACAGAAGCTATCTCAAGTTTGTAACCTCCATTAGCAACAACGACATAGGTGGTGCCTGTGTTCTTAGAATATAACATTATAGAATCTTTGTATGTGAGTCTGTGATCTGTCAGTTAACTCACTCTCAAGCTCAAGCTAAGTGAAGTTTACTACAAATATTCTCCTAAATTTAACCAGTAAAGTTAACTGGTATAATAAGACCTTTGATCAATTCTCAGGAGTATTTAGAGTTAACTATCTAGAAAATACTGTCTTTCATCCTGTGCACTTGTTTAACTTTGATTGGTTTTGAGAGTTGAGTAAAGGTTGTTCTTTCTGTGTGTCTTATATTGTGTCCAGTCTCTCTCTCTTTTTTAAAGTCAGAAATTTCAGTATTGTTTTGCAAAATTTCCTGGTTGACTCTCCTCTTAGATAGTGGACCTATTTTATTCACAGTTGCAATAAATCAGTTTTACCTGAAAATACTACACATAAAACAATACTAACAAAGGCAATTTCATATTCTGAAACTTAGCAAGAAACACTTTCCTATGGATATAACCAACAATAACAAAACTAAGAAAATAGCAGCAATTTTTCAGGGAATACATCCCAGAGAATTCCAACTGCTCTACTGCTGCCTTTTTTTCCATTAATTTGAAATCCTCTTCATCATCAGTGACATTTAAACTGTTGTTTCACACTACTCTCACCTATTGTCATGCCAAATGTTTATCCATTTTCATACCTTTTCACTCTTGTGCTTCGGTGTTTTCTGCCAGCAAGTCAATGTGCTAACATGAAATGTAAGGATCCTGAATTGCAGAAAATTGCATTAGCTCCCATTTTTGTCAGATTAACTTAATTCTGTTTTTTATTTTTTAACATGGATATTTTCAACACAGTTTATTAATGCTTATAAATCTCACTATGGGCTTGGTCGAAATAACCTAAGAATTGACCCCAAGTTGACCTTTAGAGTTTCCATACTATAACTTCTAATATATTTTGTGTATCTTTGCAAAATTTCTCAAGCATTTAGTAAGCATTAGGAATCATTTGTAGACAAAAAAATCAGAATTTTCAATCAAGTATTTTCACTAAAACTTTCTGCATGAATATGTGGAGTCAAGTTGTTTACTGCTCCAAGTGCAAAGTGATTTTCATGTTAAGATTAAAAATATTTTTCTTCATCTGAAAAATCTTAAATTTCTTTTGGAAAATTTCCAAAACTTTCTAAAGAAAGTTCAGAATTTTTTTTTCAGTAAAACTTTATATTTTATTTGTTAGTTTCTTAACCCTAACTCTATACAAGATTGATCAATGACTGACCTCATAACCAACAACAATAACAAAAAAAATTTAAATGAATCTAAATTACCATTTTTTTTTCTAGAACGACTTCAAATTGGAACCTGAAACTACATTTTTTATCCTAAATAGAATTAAGCTCTTAACACTATACATCTGTTTATACTTAAATTTTATTGTTTTATCGCTCTTTGAACTATGTCTAACTAATATTCCCATCATAAAATTTGTAAATCACTTGGAGAATGTGGAACTCGTGTTACCCTATTGAATTACATAATGCACAGGCTACTTGAGATTTGTTTGACAGTGTACCTTGTGAAAAACTTTTATTATTATAATTATTCTTTATTTTACCTAATCTAACCTTATCTAACCTAAAAAGTTTATAATTTTTACATTTTAGTTACTTTTAGGATAATTAATAAAGAATACACATGAAAAACAAGGTACTTTGTACTTACCTGGGTCTTATCTTTTTTTGCTATCACCTATCAATAATGCTTAACCCTAATTTTTTATAATAATGGTACTACTGCACTAAATAATTTTTTAGGAAATTAAATAATGCACCAAAGAACACAGAATAATAACATGCAAAAAGCAGACAATTTATCATAACTGTCACAGTTTTTCTGGCCTTCTGACTATACGACAAGAGCTGTTAAAAATTCAGCTAAGCTCATCGATGTGTTTCCCTTGGGAATAAAGTTTGAACTGGAAGCAAAATAGAAAATTCTCTGTACATAATACAACATAATATAATATGACATTTGATAGATTAAAACTTTGGCTATCTATTGGTATAAACAATATAGTATTAAAGGCTAGAGAGAACTATTGCCAATTTCTGAAAGAGGATGCGACAGATGGGCATGCCAGGAGGAGTCTGATTTTCTATTTTATGGCTCTAACCAAATAAGATTGAAGGCTATAAAAATTATGCATTACCTGAGTGATGACAACATTGTAATGAGGAATTTACATTAAATTTCCTACTTCATGGAGGGGTGGTAAATAAATTAGAGAATAGGGGATGCCTCGAAAGCAGATGTCCCAATTCTCCTACTAGGGGAAATTCGGGATTTGTTAAAATAATTCCTTATAAAATTAAGAACTTAAACTTATATAATGTTAAAATTTGGATTATTAGCTACATTTTTATGCCAAGTTTATTTGTATTCCATGACAAGAAAGTAGTTTGAATGCAACTTCGAAAAACCTCATGACATATGCAGAAAAGGATGTCCATAGTGGAATCTTACCCCTAAATATGACTCCTGAAGTTTAGTTATTGTTGTTTTTTATTTTAGAAAATGCTGTCTGCTAGAAATTCCAAGACTCTGCAAGTACAGAATGAAACTTGGAGAAGAAAAGCAGTGGTATTACCTCTCTCAGCTTTGTCGAAATAGGGTAAGTTTTAGGAAATAGAAGTTAGACTTTGGACATTAACTGACCCACAAATAAAATATGTTGACCTGTTGATATATACAGGTCAAAAATTTTAAGGGTGGCTAATCAATTTTGGAAAAATAAATAAATTATTGTCTATATATATGGTATTTTTTGGTTTGCTGACCCAAGCTGTACTGATGAACCTTGAATAAGTTAAACTGCCATCCACAACAGAGGATACGGCTGATAAAAGAAAGCATTAGGCCTCTACATCACGCATTTATTTTTTCTGGTGAAAAGAAAT